TTTATAGTGTTAAAAAATATATATAAATATTTTCTTATTTAATCATTTGATTCCATAATAAGTATACTAATTTATCTATTTTGTAAAAATTAAGTTTGAATTCTCTTTTTAAAAAAACTTAATATTTTAGCTTAGATATATATTTATAGAAAGACAGTGTCCTCATTTATACAAACCTTAAAAATACTTAGAATTAGGCTTTCGTTTTCACAATTATAAATGGCAATAGTTACTCTTTATTTTTCTTATTAGAAGTTTAATTCCTTGATTAATTATTATGAAATTAGGCTAATGATGATGGACTTACATTTTTGGATTCTGATTTAAATTTAAATTTACTCAAAGTTTCTTATAGAACAATTTTATTTAAGTTTAAAAACATCAATCAAATTCTACTAAATTTAAATTTAAATTTAGATCTACAAAAAATTTACAAATACAAAATAAAATGGTACAAAATATTTACAATTATATTTAACACTATCAACTATAAATACAGTCTTTAATCTAAGAAATTTCAATCTAAAAAATATAACTTGAAATATTAAATAAAATAAAAACATAAAAAATAAACAAAAAATTGAAAGGCTGTAGTAGCTTAGATTTTATGAGTGTGATAAGAAGTTTGTCATGCTTAAATTAACCAAGTTTAAACGAAGAATTATTTTTATAATTATTGTTTCATATCTCCCTATTTTATTTTTTTAAAAGAAAAAATTAAAAACAATAAGGCTCAAACATGCACAAACGTCGTCATTAGAGAACTATTTGGTCCTTAAATTAAAAAAATTTAAGAAAACAATCAAAATCAGAAACATAAATCCGTCATCATTGTCCTAATCTCGTAACAACTAATCGATGAATTAGATTGAGAAAAACAAAGAAACAAGAAAAAGACTGAAGGGTGGCCAAAGAGAAGAGTAGCTATTACCTTTTACAATTGCAAAAATAAAACCTTAATTCTAAGTCTTTTTAGGGTTTATGTAAATGACGATATTGTCTTTCTATAAGTATATATCTAAAATAAAATATTCAATCTTTTTTTTATAAAAAGAGAATTCAAACTTAATTTTTACAAAATAAATAAATTAATATACTTATTATGGAATCAAATGATCATATAAAAAAATATTTGTATAGTTCTTAACACCATAAATCTTTCACACTTAAACATTTAGCTTATTGATAAGTATATGTATCATATACTTAAAGATTTGTATTTTTTAAATTTTTTTCAATTTAGTCTCTAAATATTTCAATTTTGTTCAATTTAATCCCTATATTATAAATTTTTGTTCAGTTTAATCATTATGATATGATACAAATTTTTTTTTGAAAATTTTTTTCTTGATCTACCACATTAGCATTGCCATATAGCACCGACACATCATCATGTCAGTACCATATCATCATATTAGTGCCACATGGGATCACCATGTCATTACATTGATGGCACATGGCATTGTCATGTCATCATGGTAGTGTCATGTCAACACCACATCAGCGTTGACGTCATCCTCGTTAACGACAAAATTGGATCTCGTTAGAGAGAATGACTAAATTGAAGTAATTTTCAAAATTCAAAGACTGAATTGCTTCAATTTTGAGTATAAGGACAAATTGAACATAATATATGAGTACAAGGACTTGGTGTATATTTTGACCTTGACAAAACATAAAGTTATATGATAACTCTAAGAGATAGAGTTTTTTGAACTTAATTTTAATAATAATTTAGCTTAATTCTTATAGTAATGCATAAAAATTAATTAGGTTTTATCTAATTATTTTAAGTTAGTTAATTAAGTAAGTCAATCCAATATTAGTTAAATTTGTACTTAAATTGGTGTTAATGTATCTAAGATAAGTTATTATTGATTTATTTGTGCTTTTGTAGGTATTTATTAAAAGACTTTTAATGGAATAATAAGAGAAATTTTGAAGTGTAGACTTCTACTACATATACATTGGTATTTCGACTATAACTCTCTCTACAGAATTTCGAATGAGGTGATTTGACCATTAGAAAGCTAAGAGAAAAAGATACAACTTTCATATTAACCATTTTGCCTAGTTCGACCATAAAGGTAGTCAAAAACTTTATCAAAGTTGTCCTAAAGATAAATCGTGGCTCACGTAGTTTGATGAAGAAGTCTTATTTACAATTGACTTCTTTCCTCACCTAATTTGACCCAATTTCAAAGCCTTATAAAAATAACATTTTGAAAAAACTTTTGGAGGCACAAAGCTCCAAATTTAGAGTTGAGAATTAGCTGCAAAGTCATTGAAACAAGTTTAATTGAAGTTGAGAATAAATCAAGAGATTCAAGAAGATTTGGAAATCAAGATTGCAATTCTTCAGTTTCTTTTATCTTTTTGTTATTCTTTTATTTCCTTAATTGGGTTTCAATATTTAAACTTAATTTGATGATGATGTGCGACTTTATGGAGAGTTAAATTATTTATCTCAGATTATGATTGAACGTAATACATAGTTTGAATTATTTATGTCTCTTTTGCTTATGTTTGATAGTTTTAAGTTATTTTTTTATTTTGTTCTTAATGCTTTTAAATGCCTAATCACCAATTAAATTCACCTACAAATTTGAGTTAAACCTTAACAAAAGAGATTTAAGTAGACTTTGAATAAAATAGCATATGATCGGATGCATTGAATTGATTAAGTGGTTTGATTTGCATATAAAATAAACATACATCTATAAGCCATATGTAGTCAGGATTAGAGCACGAATTTAATAAATTTTTCTTCAATTTAATTTGCATAGACATAGAATAAGTTAATTAGGAAAAATATTTTTATGAAAACCTCGACAGAGACTTGTAAATAAATTATGACTCTAGGTTGGTAACTTAATCTACTAAACTAAATTAAGAGAGAGAGACATAACATTTAAATGAAATATTGAGGGATATCATAAACTCAGGTCTGATAGTCAATCAAGTTTAATAAAATAATTTTGCTAAGTAATTTTATATTAGTTTTAGTTTTAAAATTTTTTAAATTTAATTTTTCTTTTTAATAATTTAATTTTTATTGTTTGGATAAAATTAGGATATGTCAATTTTAGTACTTAACAATAAAAATTAAAACAATTCTTTTTGAGAACGATATTCTATTTCATCATTATATTACTTGTTTATAATACATGCACTTGTTTCAAAAATCGACAATATATTTTTGGCATCATTGTCAGGGAATTGATTTTTAATTTTTTCTTATTAATATTAATACCAATCATTCTTAATCTTAATCAAAACACTTCTTTCTTTTAAGTTTTCATGTACTTTTGATTGTTATATGTGAAGAACTCAAAATTTAGAAATAGTTCCTTTTGATCTAAAAATCAAAATAATTTTTTGCAGACTTTAGAGGAAAAATCAACAAGTTTCTACTTTAATTAAAACAATGGCTGATCAACAAGGGGAAGAGACCAAATCTTTGAGGGAATATGTTGTCCTGCTCATACAACATCTCCACTCTAGTATCCATAGACCTATTATTCAAGTCAACAACTTTAAAATTAAATCAACAATCATTCAGATGATTCAAATGTCTATTCAGCTTGAGGGTTTGTCTAATGATGATCTTAATGCTCATATTATAAATTTCTTGAAAATTTGCTACACATTCAATGTTAATGGTGTTATTGATGATGCCATAAGGT